TAGCTTGGTCCGGATTTTTCCTTCTTGCTTCTATGTTTCCTATCTTGGCCAAACTCCAATAACAGCTGCTACAGAGCCTTATAGTCTAGACAAAAATGCCAACTGGTCTCCTTCTTCTTTACCAACAATACCGGGCTGGAAAAGGGACTAACACTCTATCGAATGGTACCTGCTTCAAGCATTTCACCTACCATTTTCTCCATGACCACTTTATGCATTTTAGGATACCGATATGGACTTACATTGATTGGACTGTGCCCATTCATCAGGGTGATTCCATGCTCTCTCCCACGTCTCAGAGGAAGCCCTGATGGAACCGCAAAACAGTCTCAAACTCTAATAACAGTTCAGAAATCACCTGAGGTATGTCAGACTTCGACTTCTCTGACACTTGATGATTCCCAAACTCCATATGGGTGCCCTTGGAAACAACCGTATGTCTTGAAGATATTGTCTTCAATGAAAGACGTTTAATGTGAAGATTTGTGTCAATATAAAGTCACTCATTGGTCGTTGTATTTGAAAGAAAACTCTTGTTTCTTCCAATCCACGAGGCACTTGCCTAAGGTTTCTAACCATTGTACTCCTAATATCATATCCACACTCCCTAACTCCAGGGATATGAAATCAGTTGTGAATTCCAGACCAGATAAGGAAAACGTCACATCGTTGCACAGACCAATCCTTTTAACCTGTAATCCATTACCCAAAAGAATATTGTGCTCCTGCTTGGTAGAAACATTCAGTTTTGGTATGGTTACCGTTGCAGTAGCAATGAAATTATGGAAGGCACCACTGTCCAACATCACAATCACTGCCGTACGACCAATGATTCCCATAACTTTGGTCGTTTTTGGTGCTTCAATTCCCAGAAAGGCATTCAACGAGAGAGGCATTAATTCTCCCTGTGTTTGTTCATCTTCTAACAGTTCGAACATACTCTCATCCAATACTTCCACTTCAAAATCGTTCAACACTGTTAACACCTGCAACTCTTTCTTCGGACAGACCTTTTCATGACCTCTGAACCACTTAGCGTCACACTTAAAACATAAACCCTTACTTCGTTTCAAGTCAAGTTCAGCGTCAGTGAACTTTTGTCGATGGTCTGATGGTAGGTTTCTCATATGTTTGGCCTTCCTTTGGTTCATTGGTCGCAATAGTTAACACCTTAGATTTGAATGGTGTAACATATTGAGATCGCTGATTGTTGTAAGATGAGGTGTTTCGGTATGAACATTTTGATGTGGTGTCTTTCTTTGATACTGTGCCAACCGCTTTACAGAAAGCACTACTCTCCATTTTCAGTACAGCTGCAATGTGATTAGCAAGACCCTTCGGCTCCTTCATTTTGATTACCTCTTTCAACTCTGGTGATAAGCCAATGTTAAAAATATCTTCAAGGCCTTTATCGTCCACACTTGTTACTTGTGATGACAAATCTTAAAACTCAGATACATAATCACCAATGGAGCCTGTTTGTTTAATCGAATATAGTCTCTTCCCTGGTTCTTCTTCCAACGATTCAGCAAAACGAACCAGTAATTTGGCTTTAAAATTTCTCTAATATCTGAAACCATGTCGCTTTCGTACCCAGATATACCATTTTTTTACTTTCCCTGATAAATCCAGAGCAACCAGATCCATCTTTGCCTCATCACTATATTGGCCTATCTCGAATAAATTTTCAACTTCGGTGATCCACATATACGGAGCAACACCATCAAAAACCGGCATTTGAATTTTCCTCAACATACTGTCTCTATTCGCTAGATCGGAATATCATGGTCGTTAACCTAGCGGAATATCACTCTGGTTCACTCCAGAAGAAGAATTTGGAACCTGATTTTGCGTCTGTAATGATCCAGGAATTTCAATCGGACGAATTCCACCATCGGCTCTTGGTGGTAGACTCGACTGTTGTTGAATCGCCATCAAAATTGCATTAAGTTTCTCTGTCATCTCTGTCATTCGATTTTCCATTTGGGTGTTTGATTCGCAGAGTCGTGTAAAATCACCGTGCAAGAATTCGAGCTCGTCTCGCACTGTCGAGGCATCGTAATCTCCTTCCTCACTTCTGACTTCCTTCGCAGCTGATCGATCTCGTCACAACGCACCATTTATTAAGATCTTAACTCTGAATCTCTCTGTAAACTCTCGTATATTGAAGAAGAAGAGGATTACAAGAAATATCTGTAACTGACTCGTTATCCACTCATATCGTATATAACAGAAATAAGCTAGGCAGTACATACGAGTTACCAAAATGCATACGTATTCTGTTACAAACTTTACTATTTATACTTAAACTTTGACTGCTACTTCTCACACCCCAACTCCACATGTCTCATCATCCTTCTTCACATGCCTTGTATACACATTCAACAGCCTATCACATGGTCTAATTATTCAAGCAAGAAATTAGTTAGGATTTTAAAGCGACTCAAGCCAATCACCTATTCTATAACAACTTAAGCACTCAGCTTTCGTTGGTAGCCACACAGAAGATAACAAGATAAAAACAAACTCATTAACGTTCACAATATTCTTTGATATCTTGTCGCGAAATTGCTCGCCTATCCTAGTTCAGACACTTAGATTCAACATTCTCATAGGTCTAATTTAATTAAGATATATCAGTGACAAGATAATCAATCAAGCAAACATGCATTAACAATACGAATAAAACGAAGAACCCAACCATATATCAACTGGCGGGAAAGCGGCCAATACAAATCTTAACCGCAAGAACTGGTATCATTTAATGCCTATACTTTGATGTTGTGCCTATACGTACTTGAACTCTTTAAAATGTGTAAATTCATTCCCGAATTAGAATTTTTATGGCCAAATCATGCATTGACTTTTTATCCGTTAGTCAACTCCGTCAAAATATTTACGCGGCTGACTCACTTGCCACGTTGGAATCTCTGAGATATGATGCTATGTCATTTTGTATATTTCTGGGAAAAAAAAATTTGCAAGCTCAAAGATTCGAACCCTGCACCGTACCCACTTGTCCGATCCCCAAGACCAGTAGACCAGATGTAGTAATTGATAACGTATCGCACACTTAAACAATATAAACTACCCATAACCATTATTAAAAAAAAAATGATGTCGTATTGGTTTGGTTATTCATCTTTTTTTAATGAAGAATCTATGTTCTTCTTCGTCGAGGTCTGTGTTCAAATTTGGGGAAAAACTCAGCAAACGGATCGAAATCGTCATTGTCGTCACCATTAACCGATTTCTACTCTTAATCTTCTTCTGCTGCTTCTCCTTCTTCCTCATGTCTCCTCGTGAATCCTCCCGTTAACCCTGCGGCCGATTTGGTTTTATTTCACCAGATCTAAAACAACAATCGTTTGATGAATTCGATTCATAGGAGTATTGAGAATCAAAAGAGAACCCAGCAAAGTTTAATTCAATTGTTTAAAGTTAAAAGCAACAAACATCAAATTAGATTTGATAAAAGGAAGACCCTTTCGAGCTTTGGTGAAACTCACAAATGTCGTGACTTTCAACGACTTTAGATTTTTCATTTTTCTAATGATTGTAGGAATAGTAAAAATATTTAATGGTGCGACTTACAACTAATAATTGCATTTGGTCTAGTGGCATTAAGGGATGTTTATAGAGGATGTCTATGGGTCGCATAATATTATGTGCAAAAATTTTTACTTTTTTTTTTCTCGACTTAAAACGACATCGTTTAGTATTATTATTTAACAGAGTTGACTAACAGAAAATAAGTCAATGCATGTTTTGGTCAAAAAAATTGAGTTTAGATATGAATATTCAAATTTTCGATAGTTGAGGCATATAGCATAGCATAATTGTACATGTACTAATCGGTACCATTCCACTCGGTTGAGGCATGAATTAGCCGCTTTCCCATCAACTGGTTAAGACAAATCTTTTTGTCCTCTCCAAACCAAATCTGCAAAATCTAACGAAAAAAAACAAATCAGATTACTTATAAATACATCTCGATTGAACAGTTAAAGAAGTTGTGAATATGTTGTCACGTCAGCCGTCATGTTATTAATTTAAAAAAATTCTTTAAAAATTTGATTTTTTGTTTATATATTTTTGTCTAGATCTTTAATATTTTACAATCTATTATCTAAAATTGTTTGTTTATTTTCTTTTGAATTATTTTCCTTTATACATGGTTGTTTTGATTCTAGTAATTCAGATTTTTGATAGTTTGGATTTTGCAAAATAGAACTGAGATTAAAAAAAAGTATCATTTTTATTTTGGTTTGGTTTAAAATTATAAGTTTTGGTAACTGAGTTCATATGAAAATGTTGTACTTTGGTTTGAATAATTTAGTAGATAAATTTTATAACTTAAAGTTAATGAATTTTTATTTAGTTATGATCAGTGTAGTTTGTTTATACATTCATAGATATGTGTTTCAAGTTTTTTTTTTCATCTTCTTAATATAAGTTTTTTATACACAAATTGATTGTCAACCTTGATATGACACATGATTCAAACAAAATTATTTATTCCGAAAAATATAAATTTGCTATTATTTATTAAAAAATATTTTTATACGGAAGAAAAAAATTACATATTCTTATTTTATATGATTTAAAAACAAATTTAAACATATTAAGATTAGACAAAATAAATATAGAATTATTTTTCCTTTGTTTGAAAATTTGATTATTTTTTATGTTGAAATTTTTGAATTTTTTAAAATTAATGAAATTGAGATTGATATAGCAGCTTACTCAACAATCGTAGATGCAGATTGACATGTCAACAGATTTACACAGTTAAATTAGCATCAAAAAGTTGACTAAGTCAATGTTAATTTGAGCCCTAAGTTCAAAGTTCATATGTATATGTGTTTCAAAATTAATGAAATTGAGATTGATATAGCACTTACTCATCAATTGTAGATGCAGATGAATTTAAATCCGAGAAGGATTTCTAAATCTTTGGATTCTTTAAGGATTTCTAAAATCCATAAAAACGCAACAAGTAAAAATGCAAATGACCCCCACTAAGAGTCCGCTCTGAAACAAATATAAATAAATTACAAATACCTGTGTTTGGCTCTCCCAGTCTATATTGTTCAAAAACAAGAAATCAATTAACCCTCGACAACCCAAATCTAAATCAAGAATGCAAACATCATCTCACAGCACCAATACAAGAAAAGAACAAAAACTTATTTCTCTGATATTTATAGAAGGACTACTAATTTCTAAAACTTAATTTTCAAAAGCAGAGTACAAACCATCTACGAGGCTCTCACTTCCAATCTGCTAGGAACAAAGCTCACACGGGTACACTGTTTTAACCGAGCAAGTGCGTCTTGTGACCTACCCAACATGAGATCGATGTAGACCGCTGTAACCGTAGCTTGTACATTATTCGGTAAGACAGTTAGCGCGTGCATAATCAAAGGTTTAGCCTGGTCATAATGTCCCTGTGTGGCAAGCAGCGCGGCAAGGTTTGCAAAAAGTACTCCACGAGCTTCTTCTGGCTTAAGGCAAACTGAATCCCGGGCATTTCCTGTGGAAGCATCAGCTGTCTCTTCACAATCGAAACTTACGTGCATCCGCCACTGGTCAAAGTCTTCTTGCGCAAATGGCAGTTTAAAATCATCCTGTCCAAGTAGATAGGCGGATAAATGGGCGCCAGCTTCAACGGGTCTGTTGAGCAAGCAGAGAGCCTCCGCTGCATAGATATGGCCTAAGAAAATATAAATCTTTGAACAATCTGGAAGCTGCAAGAGTGAATTGGCAGATGACAAGGCTTTGATAGGATTTTCCAGTTCCAACTCTACGTATGCCATATTAGCGAGAAGAGCCTGTTTGATCAACTGATTTTCTCTACTACGGATGTCTTCCAAAGCGGAGAGTGAGTTTTGAATCATGTCCTGATTCATTCCTCCTTTCAAGTCTGAGTTCGTATTAGCTTCCCCATGATCAGGCGATGATGCTTCTGTGGTCTCATTTGTCTTCAGGGATAATGAAGATTCAATATCTGATTTAGAGTCGTTCAAGATAGACCCATTGAGCAAGTAAACACCATTCGAGAGACAGACCCGTGCTAGTGGTAATGAAAGCTTTGGCCATTGGGTACTACCAGCAAGTTCGACAGATCCGTTTTCTTCCATCAAAAGTTGTCTCCACTTACCTTTCCCAATTACATGGACTCTAATTTCCGATCTATCCAAAGAAGTGTTCCCCTCTTCCAAAAGACCCTTTTGTAAAGCCATTATACAGCATTCGGCTATACGGAGCCAAATGAGCGGTTGCCTGCTGAAAACTAGGCTTGCCTTCTGGAAGCATTGAGCAGCAAGTAGAGGCTTCCCACAAGCCAAATAAAGCAAACCGCAGTTGTATGTGATCAACAAAGACTTATCCTGTGAGAGAGATATCAACTTCACTGGATTCTCCTTTCTAAGTGATGAACAGTTCCTTAGCGCTTTTGAAAATAACACGGAGGCAGTTTGATATTTTCCAAGCTGATAGTATATGCAACCAAGGTTGTTGTTGAAGATTCCTGAAGTCCTTGCTTCTTTTTGAATACCGGAGACCATCAAAAGCTTTATAGCCTTTCGATGATTCCCATGTGCATACTCTAGTTGAGATTTCAAGAGCAGAGCCATGGAGGAGTCCCGTTTTTGAGCAATGTTCATTGCGTGTTTGACTTCACGCTTCGCCAGTTTCAAGTTTCTGGTAAGAAGCAAGAACCGAACCTTGTAAAGCTGCAATTCGAGCTTCAGATCCACAGTCAAGATCGACCTTTCACCTAATGTCTTGAGAATATTGTTGGACGGAATATGGCCAACTGGCTTCATTCGTTTCTCGGCTTCAATTTCCGCGAGAACATTGTCATAGTCTAGAGTTTCTTCACACAAACTACTATCAGCGGCTGTCAAGTCAGACTTCAGAGCATCTGAGGCCACCGAGCTGCTCAGGAAAGAAGATGTTCTGGATACCTGATTTGAAGAAAGTTGCATCGTGCTTCCAATTTCTTCATGACTTCCAAAACCAACACCAAAAGTTTTGACCATATGCTCAAACACAGCCTGTAAACAACTACTTGTAAGATACAGAAAGAAGGAAACATCTACAGAGAGACTCCATGCAATGAGATGTAGACTGATCAATGCAAAAAAGTCATTTAAGGATGTTACAGTATATAATTCAAGTGAAAATCCATTTTCTTTTATTGAACTAAAAGTCCAACCTTCCCCATCAGATTACAGCTATGTAGAATTTGCTGTCACCGACTGATTTCCCATTTCTCATAGCGTTTAATAATAGGCAGCGTATATATATATATATACCATATTTGTGCATTCTTTTTAAGAGAAAAGCATCGACCATCCATTAAAAATAAGGAAGCCGCTAGAGAAATTGTTCTCAACAGAAGGCAAAATTTCAGATTGCAAAAAAAAAAATGTGGAAAAATAGGAAAGACACTGGGATAGAGTCTTGCATACACGTTTATAATTGATAGACAGAATAAAAAACTATACAGAGAGAAAAACAACTAGATTGCATTTGTAGAAACTTTATAAAACACCGCATGCATATTGGTTGAATTTTCCACTAGTAAAGAGATCAGCTGGACAATATTTCAAGACGTTGAATTTAGTAGAACCAATTCTTACCAAAAATTTCACAGCATCGCGACAAGCCAGCGCACTATCCAGCAACAAGAAGCAGATTTGAAGTGCAATTGTCTGCACATAAGTACCAACAATTACCTACTTCGAGCCAGTAGGACGGAATCTTAACAAAATTCAACACAAAAAGATGGAAACATTACCTCGTCTAGCGGCTCAATATTTTGAAACAAAGGTTCTAGAATGGATAAAGATTTTGTATACTGATGTAGATGAAACCAGATTACTGCCTGCAGGAGACCAGTGAACATTAATAATTTCCCTTAAAAAAATTCAAACGGCATAGCTGAGGCTCAAAAATACATCAGAACATACAATGTTGAGGATTGTCACTGTACTATCAAATTGATCCTTTGACACACAGACATTAGTTCCAGGGTTTACAGCTTCCACTTGTTCTTTGGCTGTAGAAGCAAGTTCTTCACTCTGATTCTGAGGATATAGAAGAGCACACGAAACAACTTCATAGAGATAACTTAAAGACTACTAATAACATTGCGATGTAAACAGAAAGATAGACCTTTTAGATGAAATATGGACGCTCTTAAATCGCGAGACTAGACAGAACCCAAATAGAAGTGTTCACACAATACCTTGACACTGTTAAGCTCTTCGAGTAGTTTCTTGGAACTGGAGCAACCATCCCTGAAGTACTCTGCAATTGCAATATTGTGAAGAACCTGCTTGAACAATTAAAAAAAATGCAAAAGACATGATTTTTTTAAAAGGCTGTCTGATTCTAATGAAATAAACACTCAAACTTAGAGAAAACTGAAAGCATCTCATGATTCTTCGAGGGTAGCTCTAAATCTACTGAGAGTGTTCTTATCACCCACGAATCGGTGCTAAATAATAAGACTTTAGCCAAGAAAAGGGTTTGGTTTGCTCAGTTATCTGATGGAAACAAAGCTAAAAAGCCTATCTATACTTCACAATGGAGTAATATACTTGAGCAGAAGATATCATCACAAGATACAAAGCAAATCAATACTGATACAGACGAAAGTAAACGCTGGAAAGTCAGATCTAAACTAGTAAAATCTACATCATCTCAAACTTAAATTCTTTTGTTCGTATCGATCTAAAAACGAGAATCCAAACTAGCAACAATTCATATCAACAATAATACCAATTTCACAGGCAAATCTAAACTATTTCAACCCGAAAAAAAAAACTGACCTTGGGATCGTTATGTTTCTTCTGCTTGAGCTGAATCAGAATGTCGAGACACTCGGGGAACTTGCAAGATTGGAAATAGGAGAGAGCGTCTTTAGCGAGTGCAGATGTGATTGAGAGAACAATAGCGTCGTCGTCCCTAGCGGCGTCGGAAGATACAGATGATGAAGAATCTCGAGAATCCATGGATGATTAAACCAATTCTATTGCCCAGATTTTGAAGTCCACGAATTTTCAAGAGTTGATATACAAAGAAAACCCTAGAAAATGATTGAAGGGAAGCAGAACGAAGAGCACTTTGCAGAGAAAATCCTCGCGCAGTAAAGTAAACAAGAGGAGAGAGACAGAATGGTACTGGGCCGATTTGGGCCGACAAGATTGGCTTCATTCAACCTACCTTACCTGTCCAAGTTTTTTTTCTTTTAATTTTTTTTTTCAATTAGTGGGTTTCATTAGTCAAACTGGTTCGTCCAATACTGCCAATACTGAATATGACTCACCAAGTCGAGACAAGAGATGATTGAATGAATATTTCTCACCAAGCAATCAGATTGTTCACGAGGAACTAAAGAGAAGTTCTCTCAAAATTCCTCTGACGAAAGATAAAAGTATTTGATTAAAAATGATCATAAAAGATGATCTATGCAAAGAGTTTACATCAACTTATAAAGAAATAAGGAAACTAACTTAGTCAATAAAAAAAAAAATTAAGAGATTAAACACAAAGTTTGAATGACTTTTAGACTCCTTCTCCGCCTAAACCCTTGAGCTTCTTTGGTCGAATTGTGGCTGGGCTTGAGTCTTGGATCAACAAAATGGGCTTATGTGAAAGCAAACTCCATTGTTTCATTAAAAAACCTTCCTTTGAAAATCTATTAGGACAAAACCAAAAGGTAAGAAAAAAATAGTACAAATGGGTGACTTGTCCATTTGTTGATTAGTCTTGGACCTGAATCAAAACCATGGTGGCTTGTAATTCATCTTCTCCATCCTGGCCCAAGTACTTTAGTCGATCCCCAATATGACTAAGTAAATCTACTATTGACTCCTCGAATCTATTAGTTTTGGCTCGGGTCATTGGTCCTTGTGACACAAGAAGTGGCTCAACATCTTTAAGTCTTGTGTCCACTGGTTCAAGTTCTGCTTCAAGCTCCAAGTCTTTGTTTGTATCCATAATCATTTCATCCCCCTTCTTTTGAAAAGGATTCATCCTCAAATCCGGAATATGTGTAACAAAAGTTACTAGATCAGATACATTAAAACTTGAGCTCACATTATACTTACCTTGACGGTCAAGTTGATAAGCATTGTTGCCAAACTTCCTGATTATCTTGAATGGTCCATCATTTCTTGGCATGAGCTTCGACTTTCTTTTAGCCGGGAATCTCTCTTTCCTCAAATGAATCCATACTTGATCGCCAACTTCATAAGTCACCTTGTTTCTTCCTTTATTGGCTTTCTTTTTCATAAAGCTTAGTCTTTTCCTCAAGGTTCTTTCTGGCCTTCTCATGGATCTTCCATCTATGCTTGTTCTTTCACTCAAAGGAAAAGGTGTTGGATCCAAAGGAAAAGGTAGTCGGATTAAAACCATAGATTATTTGAAATGGTGAAAACTTAGAAGTAGAATGACTGAATTGTTATATGCAAACTCAACATGTGGTAAACATTCCTCCCAAGTTCTCAAAGTTTTTTTTTAATCAATGCTCGCAAAAGAGTAGACAAGGTTCTACTAACCATTTTTGTTCTGTCCATCAGTTTGGGGGTGACAAGTAGTTGAGAAATACAACTTAGTACCTAACTTAGACCACAATGTTTTCCAGAAATATCTTATAAACTTGGTATCTCTATCAGAAACTATCGTTCTTGGCATTCCATGCAAACGAACTATTTACTTAAAGAACAAATCTGGTATATGCGATGCATCGTCAGTCTTATGACAAGCTATGAAATGTGCCATCTTAGAAAATCTATCTACCACAACAAAGAGAGAATCAACTTGTAGTACCCTAACCCGGATTTCCGTTTTTAACTAACACTTAGTCAAATTTTCATCCGAGTTTTTACTTAGCATTTTTCGCATTAGGTTCGTTTAGATAGAAATAGCCGCGCATAAGTAAGTTAAAAACAGAATACTTGAATTAAATCGAGGTTCTCAATACAATGATCGTTCGCATATAAACTATTACATCGACTAAGACCTTAACTACCCGATCCTACCATCCATCCCGTTCCAGCCATAGTCCGCGCGCTGATCAGACCTCTTTACCTGCATCCACAAAGGAGGCATAAGCAAACAAAACTGCTTAGTGAGAGCGGTCATCCCATCTCACCGAGCCAGAGTATAATCATATCAAACAAAGATCGAGCCCAATGCTCATCAGAAACAGAAAACTACCTGCGATGATCATACGCGCTTACCCGGCCGATCATCCAGCAACCAGACAAGCCTCAGCGAGCATCACAGCCGCGAGCGCCTTGCCTGATCTAGATCGCCGGTAAGGCGGATTGATCACCACAACATAGCCAGCAGAAATGTCATGACAAGCACACAATAACACGCAACCGACTAGACTCTAAGCAAGAATACGACCAAACAAGGCCACGGTCATGCACTCACCTTAGCTTTTATCGGACATATTCGGTAAGGACAGAAATCCGCGATTGATCAGACTCGTTCCCACAATCGCTCGGCAGAATCCGGACCACGCTCGACAGACTTGCACTCGCTCTCGGCCAGAATCCGATTGCTCTCGACTAAACAGACTTTCTCTCGGCTAACTTCTCTTAAGAATATTTCTCTCAATCTTTTTGTGTTCTTTGGTCGCGCGAAGAAGAAAAATGATCTAGAAGCCTTTATTATATAGGTGCTCACATGATTTTCCGCAGATAACTGTCCAGAAAACCGTTCCCGCGTCAAACCGTACTTTCCCACGATCCGCTGAGATTCTGCGTTTTTTGCACGACTAATAACCGTTCCCGCGCTATCGCCAGCTCGGCTAAAATCCATAACCGTTCCCGCGCTTATGCCTTAGCGCGTTTCCACCCGATAACCGCTCCCGCGCAGACCCGATCTCGACAAGGCTGTCTGTTGACCAACCTTGTCCGAATTCCGACCAAGTCCCGAAAAACTCGGCTTGTCGGAATTTCCCAGCTAAACTTCCTGAAAATCGCGGCCAGCTGATTTCAGCTCGGCAAACTTGACTCAGCTCGGCCAAACTTGATTCAGCTTGGCAAAATTTGATTTAGCTCGGTAAAAGTTGGACTTAGCTCGGAATCATCTGACTGAACCCAGTTTCACCCGGCTAAACCCATTTTCTGACTTTTCTCAGTTTTTCCCGAACACGGGTGTTACAAGTCTCCCCCACTTATGGTGAGACTCGTCCTCGATTCTCTACTCTTCCTCGGCTGTTCTTTCTTCTGTTTCGGTTGCTTATCAAACCACTTAGGAAACTTTTCTTTCATACTTGATTCCGGCTCTCAAGTAAATTCTTCTTCCCCATCGCAATCCCAAACAACCTGAACCATCTTAACTTGCTTCTGGCCTACAACCTTTACCCGTTGGCCAATAATCCGAACTGGCCTTCCCACTATGGACAAGTTTTCCTGCAAGTCTGGTGGAGGTTCGGATGTAACTGAATCCTCATTCCGAACGCACTTCCTTAACTGAGATACATGGAACACATTGTGAAATGAGACCAAAGCTGGTGGCAATTCCAGCTTGTAAGCAACCGGCCCGATCTGTTCCAGGATCCTGTACGGTCCCATGTACCTCGGCTGAAGCATACCCGTCGCAGCAACCCGGTCTTTACCCTTGTAAGTGATCAGCTTGACAAAGACTTGATCACCGACCTGAAACTCCAACTCTTTCCTCCGCTTATCCGCATAACTTTTTTGCCTGTTCTGAGCCTTTTTCATCTTGAGTTTCAGAACTCTGATCCGTTCGGTTGTCTCTTCCATAAAGTCTCGACCAAAAATGTTGCGCTCCCCCACTTGGGTCCAGCATAGCGGTGTACGGCAAGGCCGACCATACAACACTTCATAAGGCGACATTCCAATACTCGCCTGGTAACTGTTGTTGTAGGAAAACTATGCCAAAGGCAGATAATCCTTCCATTTACCGCCCCAATCCAACACACACACTCGCAACAGATCCTCCAACGTCCTTATGGTTCGTTTTGACTGACCATCGGTCTGAGGATGGTAAGCCGTACTCATGTGGACCTTAGTCCCGAACCGCTTCTGCAAAGCCCTCCAGAATGCCGATGTGAACCGCGAGTCCTGATGCGACACAATACTCGCCGGCACACCGTGCAGCTTGACGATCTCATCCACATACAACTTGGCTAAGGCATCCGCCTTATCGTGCTTGTTCACCGCCAAGAAGTGTGCGGACTTAGTCAACCAATCCACAATGACCCAGATAGAATCCATCTTCCCGCACACAGGAAATCCTGTCACAAAATCCATCGTAATCATGTCCCACTTCCACTCGGGAATCGATAAGCTTTGCAACAAGCCGCTTGGCACTTGATTCTCGGCCTTAACCAATTGACAGGTTTGGCACCCGACCACCCATTCAGACACAATCTTTTCCAGTCCTAGTTCTAAGCAAACCAAGCACAAAATCCATTGAGATGTCAATCCATGGGTGAGAAGGAATCGGTAAAGGATTATACAAACCGTGGGTTTGAACCTTTGACTTTGATTGCTTGGAAGTGACACACCTGCCACAGATTCTTTCCACATCTCTCTTCATGTGCGGCCAGCAAAAGTGTTCTTGCATCACTTTGAGTGTCTTAGAAATCCAAAATGTCCCATCAAGCCTCCTCCATAAGATTCCTTGACAAATAAATCTCGAAGAGAGCAATTAGGCACACAAACGGTTTTCATAGAAGAGAAACCATTCCTGTCGAAAGTAATGCCCAGAAGAAAACTTTTCACACGCCTTGTAGATTTCTCCAAACTCAGGATCTGTCTCCTACATTTCTTTAAGTTGTTCAAAACCCAACAACTTAGCGTCCAAAGTAGAGATCAAGACATACCTTTGCGATAATGCATCAGCAACAACATTTTCCTTACCTTGTTTGTACTTGATAACAGAAGGAAATGTTTCAAAGAACTCAAACCACCGAACATGCCTCTTGTTGAGCTTCTATTGCCCTTTTAAATTCTTGAGCGATTCATGATCTGTGTGGATCACAAATTCCTTAGGCCACAGATAGTGTTGCCATATTTGCAAAGCTCTCACCAAGGCATACAACTCCTTGTCATAGGTCGGGTAATTTAGGATGGCTTCTCCTAGCTTTTCACT